TCCTGGGGGGACGGATACCCCGCAGTCCCGTGTGGGGGGGTCACCGCCGGCCCCGGGACATTTTGGGGGGGGTGCTTGGGGTACCTCATGGACCCGGGATGGGGGGGGACGACATGGGGTACCTCACGGTCCCGGGCAGGGGCCAGCCCTAGCTCAGTGACCCCGGGATCCTGGATGGGCTTGGGCTAACGCCTAGTGATACCCTCTCACCCCCGATCCTAACGGATCAGGGGTTTTGGGGCGGGAGAGCCTCGCAGTCCTGGGAGGGGTGATGCTGGGATGGCCTCATGGACCCGGGATGGGGGGGGACGACATGGGGTACCTCACGGTCCCGGGCAGGGGCCAGCCCTAGCTCAGTGACCCCGGGATCCTGGATGGGCTTGGGCTAACGCCTAGTGATACCCTCTCACCCCCGATCCTAACGGATCAGGGGTTTTGGGGCGGGAGAGCCTCGCAGTCCTGGGAGGGGTGATGCTGGGATGGGGGGGTCCAGGCTGCCAGAGAGCCCTGGGATGAGACGTCAGCCCACTCCTGTGCCTTGGGAAAGACGGTTCTTCCCCCTTTCCACCTCCCTCCTAGCAGTGTTGGTGTGCAGAGGGGACACCCCGTAGTCTCTGGTTGTGTGGGGTCACCCCATCCCAGCAGCCCCAGAACATCATGGGGAGGCAGGGGTTAACCCACAGTCGCAGGAGTGGGGAGGTCATCCCCATCCCAATGGTTCTGTGGTACTGGGAGGGACATGGGGCACCCCGTGGTACTGTGATGGTGGGATATTCCCAGCTGGTTTAGGGTGTTCCCCCCTCCTTATCTCCATAGCACCCTCTCCTCAAGGACCACATGGTGCTGGGGTGCTGCCACCCAGGAACTGGGTACCCCAGGCCCAGGGCATCCTTTTCTGCCCTGGCTGCCCCTCGCCCCGCCGCTCAGATTCCTCGGTGGGGGATGTGAAGCCCCTCGCTGTCTCAGGGGTAGGAGCCTGCATTCAGCATGTCTGGAATGCCAGCAGTGGCTGGGAACGGGCTTTCAGACCGGAGTCCATGTTTCCATCCCTGTGAAACCTGTCACGATCTGGATCTGCAGCAAGGACGCCTTCCAGCCTCGTGCAAGACCGCTGTGAATTTGCGAAGTGGCTCCACACCTTCTATTTTTGGGCAAATTCTCAAACATGTTTCCTTCCGTCTGTGATAAGGGCCTTTTCTGGTAACACAAGAGCTGATTATCTTCGTGTTCATAAATTTTAATCTTTCGCTTCAGCTAACCAGTAGCACATCCTCCTGACACGGTTGTAACAATCCTGCGTTTGAATGTGGATTATGTCCCGATGTGGAATCCTGCCCTCCGCCGCCTGGGAAGGGGCAGACGCTGCGGCCCTGGGGACAAACTACCCCCGTTCAGCTCAGCCTTGGCACTGAAGGCCAGCCTTAACAAACCCGAAGCTGGCTGTCAAGCTTGCTAAAAAACTGCCTGATGGAAAAATCCCGTTTGATTGCTGGAGTTTTCTCCCCGTTTGACACCTGTTAACGTCCTATTTATAGAGCCCCAGCAGCAGCCCTTATATAACCATTGAGATAGAGAAGGAGGAATATTTTTTCCCTCTCCTTCTGTTTCCTCCAGCCAGGTTTGTTTTCTTACCTCCCGGTTCTCTTTCAGAGTTTCCAGGAGGCGTTCCTTCATTTTCCCCCCACCATTCAATGCTCATGACTCTTTCCATAAAGCATGCTGTCTCCTTTTAATCCTGGTTTTATAGGTAATTACTGTCGTGCGAAGAGCTCGTAGCACGCTTTGGCGTTGGATGTGTTCGCGGCGTCCCTCCCTGCAGAGCTCTTTTGCTCCTGCTGAGCCGTGTGTGTTGCTTGAAGTAGATCTCCGCTATCTCGTAGTAAAACGCGAGAGCATGCACGTTGATTGAAGCGCTACTTTTGTCACATTCTCCTTTTCCACCTACTTGTAGGAAAGATTTTAAATTTTTGTCACCTTTTACACTCCGGAGAATTTCATTTGCACGGGGAAATGATTATGAAAGGTGAGCAGGCAGCTAGCGGGAAGTGGTGCCGGGGTTGTGCTTCCCTGTTTGCTTTCTCAAGCCGAGTATTTCTGTGGAGCGTTTCTCAATAGGGGGCATTTCTCAAGCAGCGTCTCCAAAAGAGTCTCGTTGATGGCTTAACAGCTCAAAAAAAGAAAAAAAAAAGGCAATTTCTTTGTGTTTTTGCTGCCCCATGATGGGTACAGACTCTTTAAATGTGTAAAATTGTATGTTGGATAAGGGAAAGGAGGGAGCTATTTTTAGGTGTTGGTAAGCTTTAGAAAGATCAAAAATGTCAAATATAGGTGGTGTGTGGTTTGTTCTTCTCCTCACTGGAAACCTTCCTGTCCACTTTTAAATCTTTGCAGTGTTTTCATCAGACTCTCAGGGTTAGGTGGATAGAAACGATCTGGAGACCTAAATATATCTTTGCCTCTTGCATGCTCAGCATTTATGCTCTTGTCTTGAGCTATAATTTTCCCAGTGTAGCAGTCACAGCAGAGTTTTTTTTTCATGTGGAGAGATTCAGAGTTTCTAATACGTATTTAAAAAAAACACAATAAAAACCCCAGATATCCTGAACCCCTTTGTGTCACATGGGGGAGCAAGCCTGAAGCCCAGTCTGATCCTGAGCTGCATCTGCAGGGGCATTACTAGCAGAGAGAAAGAGAGATGGGATCATCCTGCTCTACTCCGTCAGGCCACCCCTGGAGTGCTGTGTCCAATTCTGGTCTCCACAAGTCAAGAAGGGCGTGGACAGAGCAGAGAGAATCCAAAGGAGCTGGTCGAAGGGCTGGAGAACCTGACATGTGCGGAAAGGCTGAAGGAGTCAGGTCTCTTCTCCCTGGAGAATGAAAGGCTTGGGAAGGGACCTCATCACAGTTTTCTGGCTGCGAAGAGGACAGAGGGGCTCTCTTTCGGAGGAGCTACATGGAGAAAACGAGGGGCTATGGGTACAGGTTGCACCAGGAGAGGTTTCATCTCGATTTAAGAAGGACATTTTTTACAGCAAGAACAGTCTGTCACTGGAATGACCTCCCCAGGGATGTGTTAGAGTCCCCATTGCTGGAGAGTTCCAGGATGTGACTGGGCAAGGTGCTGAATAATCTCTCAGCTCCTTTTCCCACAACAGGTTGGATCAGATGATCTTCCCAGATCCCTTCCAACCTGGGCTGTCCCGTGGTTCTAATTTTCCAGAATTCCTTTCTTTATTGTCCTTTCACATTTAAAAAAACAGCCAAACAATCCAAAACCTACCAAACCAAAAAATCTGAGTGTAAAAACACACCACAATCTGTAATATATATGTATATTTCTGGGGCAAACGTTTCCTCTTTTGCTCTGGTTTCTCGATAAGAACAGTTCACTCACAAGGAATCCTTATTTATTCTCCGCTCTGGGGTGCTGTCTCGTGTATTACAATCCCGTTCCTGTTTTACTAAGCAGAGGAAATATCGACAACCAATTGCAGGCTTGTAGAAATTTTTGAAATACGTGATTGCTACGAAGAGTTTTGAAAACAGAAGTCTCGGAAAAACCGAGATAAAGAAGCGGACCTGTTCTGGACGCCGATCGCAGCCTGAAAGCTCTCACAGCTGGGATGTCAGAATGATCGTTCTCCTAGAAACACTGCGTTAGAGACTTCAGGTATTTGAGAGGCTCTTGGCCGGTGGCCTGCGGGTTGTGTTTGGCATCCTTGGCCGGATCTTCTGGCCACTACCAGCTGCCCTCGGCCCTGGGCAGAGTCATTGTTCGGGCGTCGGGGTCCCAGCCCCAGCTGCTTTCTCTCCTGGGTATTTTTCAGGCACGGGCAGCGTGCCGCGGAAGGGAGCTGTGTGATCTGGAGAGGCTGAACGCAGCTGGATGGACAAACAGGTTTTAAACCTTGTTCTCAGCGACTCATTCACATCCTGCTTATCCAAACGTTTGTAAGGGACTCTAATTACATCAGTTACAATCTTATTTTGTCTGGCCAGTATGAAAGAGATGAAGCTTTGAAGACTGGAGTCAAAGTCAATATTGACTTGTCCTGTTCTCGCTCAAGAGCTGGCAGTGCTTTGGCTTCAGCCCTTGACCTAAACGTCCTTCAGAATTCTTGCAGAAATTGTAAATGTAGAGGGAGATGTTGAAATCTGCTATTCTGGGTGTTGAAAAATGAGGTAGGAGGGAAAATCACAGAATAATAGGGGTTGTTTTTTGGGCCCCCCAGCCAACCCCCCTGCCGAAGCAGGGTCACCCGGAGCAGGCTGCCCAGGACCTTGTCCAGGCGGGTCTTGAAGAGAAGGAGACTCCACAACCTCCCTGGGCAGCCTGTTCCAGTGCTCCGCCACCCTCAGAGGGAAGAAGTTCTTCCTCATGTTCAGATGGAGCTTCCTCTGCTTCAGTTTGTGCCCATTGCCCCTTGTCCTGTCGCTGGGCACCACTGAAAAGAGTTTGGCCCCATCCTCCTGACACCCACCCTTGAGATATTTATAAACATTTATTAGATCCCCTCTCAGCCTTCTCTTCTTCAGGCTGAACAAGCCCAGCTCCCTCAGCCTCTCCTCATAGGAGAGATGCTCCAACCCCCATTCTGGTGCCATCTTTAGAAGGCCGTAAGGAGCAGTGAAGAGGGTGCGTACACACCCCATAGCTGTTCACTGCTGGCTCATTACTTTGAAAAGGTGGGAACCAAAAGCCACACTGTATTTGTTAGCTTTACATCCTGTAGTTATTTAGTTTGTATTTCCAAAAATACTGCTTGAAATAGAAATTATATTGCTAGCAGTAATGCTAATAATATTGCGGTGTAATCTAAGCCTTGCGCTGGGATTAGTAGGATTGAAGATCGCAGATTGATGGAAGGAGGCAGCGTGTTTGGGGCAAGTCTTACGAGCGGAAGACGCTACACCCTGGTAACAGGACAGAGTCGATGTGGTTGCAGCTCGGTGCCTGTGCCGTTCCTTTTCCTGTCAGCCCGACAGGAAGAACTTTTAAGAAACTCAAAATGAGGAAACGCTGACAATAGGCAGCAGACCTGTCTAAACTTCATGGAAGCTGAAGGAAGCAAAACTCTTGAGGCCAAAG